GGGGGGCTACAAAGGCAAGAAGTGACTGTCTTACAAGCTTTCAAGAGGTAACCTAGATCCAGAGGGCATGGAGGAAGGTAGAATCTCCTTTGAGTAGTATCCAATCTGTCTAGATGGGGCTAATGAAAGGAAATGTGGATAGGTCGCTTGTGATACAATAGTGAATAATTGTTATCAGGACTTATTATGAGGGTTGGAAATGTAAAGGTAGACATTTTGTAGCAAGGAGGGGAGTGATTAACTTTGCAGTCTAGGAGCGGATGTCCCTGGGACCATCAAGGGAGAAGAGCGGAGAGTGGGACCCTACCCAGAGAAGCAGTAACGTCAAAGATGGAGGCAGAGATGATGACGTGGAGAGATGGAGTGGCTAGGGAATTTAGACCCAGAGAGAGAGAGGGGCTGTGTACTGGCGGCCAGGGGGCAGGGTTGTAGGGTATACACTTTGGTTGGTTGATGATGCATGGAGGGGATTGTAACTATGGCAATGAAACGATATATGATAGGATGAACGTAAAACTAATGTTTCCTCATGTAAACTATTACATAATTCACAATAAAATATTAAAATAAATAAATAAAGTACACGTAAACATCTTTCTAGAGTCCTGGTGTGGTGCTGTGGGATGATATACTGGTTCTCAAGGTCGGTTTGAACTGCAAGGTCAGCAGTTCAAATTCACCAACTCGATGGCACTTAATAACAACAATAGGTAGTCTCTGCTTTCAGTTAAGATTCATCTGATACCAACAATGATATCCCTTATTCCACGTCCTCATCTGAATCCAACTTGAACCTCTTGCAGTTCTCTGTCAATGTACATTTGCAACATTTTTGGATTCTCTTTAGCAAAATTGTACTTATGTGAGATATAATGATAGTGTCTGATAACTTCCACATTCCATTAGGCTACCTCTCTTTGGAATGGGCACAACTATGGATCTCTTCCAGTCAGTTAGCCAGGTAGTTGTCTTCCAAATTTCTTGGCATAGATAAATGAGTGCCTCCAGTACTTCATTAAATAGGAGTACTTTTAAAACTTTGTTCTAAAGTATTTTATCAGATATAATAATCAGGTTAATTTGTCTGAATTCCTTTCTTTTAATTTTTAGTACTTTTTTCCTTGCTATTTATGGAATAAAACTTAGGGCAAGTAACGGAGGATTGAACAATGTTTTCCAGTTCAACAGGTTTGGCTCATGGGTACCAAGATTCTTTGTGTCCCTTTATGGATTTCAGTGTTCAGCAAGATGATAATCTAGTGATCTAATAAATTAATCCACAGAACAAAGCCCAATTTAACTTAAAAACATGTCAGTGGGTAACGAGTTATCAAAAAGAAAATTTGTTCATTACCAAGAACTTATCTTGCAAAGCTGACCGTAGAATAACAGGAAGTGTATGTAAAATTCATCTACTCAGCGCTAACTTCATCTTTGGCTATGCTCCCTAGGCTATTGGCTTTGTAGGCACATGGGCTAGGAAAGCTGTTCCAAGGCTGTTTACCCTCATTTCTCCTTACCTACTCAAGTGAGAAGGTTATATTACATTATATAAAAAAATTCACATTTACTTATTTGCATAAGTATGTATCTTATTTTATGTATTATATGCTGCACACGACTGATCTCTTTTCCAGGAGCTTCCAAACTAGAACACTAATTCAGATCAACATTTAAGTATTGTTTTAATTATTGGCACTGAGTACAAAAAGGGTAAATAAGTAATAAAGTTTGTAAATGCAGAAAGCTTAGTGGAAAGCATCTAGGACGTTATGTAGCCCTAAGGTCCATAGTAGGAGTACTGGTGTGGTGATGAGGGTTAATGCACTGGACTGCAAAGTTGGGATGAACCACAAAGTTGGCGGTTAAAGCTTACCAGCTACTCCTTGGAAACCCTATACAGGGTCACTATGATTCTGAATGGCATGTTGATAACAGTCTTACAAGGTAACATATTCAAAGTGAAGGGTCTAACAGCAAAAGCAAACTTGAGGCTTCTGACCAGAGAGGGTGATGAATCCATGTCACAGAAACAGACAGCTGAGGAACCAGTACCCTGAGCATAGGAGTAATGACAACTCCAGCTCACTCCCAGGAAACAAACAAAACTCCTAATTTATGCTGAAATTCAATGGGTAATGTTAAATATGGGCACACACTTTTAAACAGATCTTTTCATGATTATCGCATCCTCCAAAATAAGTATTAAAATCTCCCCTGCTGTTTGAAGCCATGCTACAGGAACATGTGTGATATATGGGGAGGTTCTCTCCCGCAAACATAAGATCCTAAATTATTTCGGATGCTAAAATCCAGAGTGTGAAAGATGAGGGAGGTAGAGAGCGGTTGCCAGTCTACCCTGTTCAAAAAGACATATAATTTCCCCAATCAACAGCAAAGGGCGATCATAGATCCAAAACTTGAAGCTGCTTCTAATGAAAGGTACCGTGTGCAATTCTCTTCTTACACCTTTGCAGTTTACAACCCTAGTTAAAGTGTAGGAGAATCACTAGACTGCCAGGGTCCTTAGTTAAAATGTAGGAGAATCACTAGACTGCCAGGGTCCTAAGTGTGAAGTTGTTGTTGTTGTTAAGTGCCGTTAAGTTGGTTCCAACTTATAACGACCCTGTACAGGGTTTCCAAGGAGCAACTGGTAAGTTTGAACTGCCAACCTTGCATGAGAAGACAGGATGAAAACATGACTTCTCTAAAAAGATGAGCTATTCTATTTCAGGGATAGTCAATACCAACACCAGCAGTAGTATCAGACTTTCAGATGTGTAACTATTTAGAAACATAATTAATAAATACATACAGGATTAACAATGAATAAATTCTTTTGTAGAGAATTTCGACATCCAGTAATTTTCTTGGCACGGACATTCTTCTTCCATACATTAAAAGCCTTCCATTTCCGGAAAAGTGAAAATATGGGAATCTTTGTGAGTTCTCTGTGATACAGATATTCCTGCTCCCATCGATCAAGTTCGATATATTCAATGTCTTCATTATAAGTGTGTGTTACTGCATTCCGGCTAATAGTATAGAAGTCATTTTTATTGAGGTTCTCATAACTTACAATTCTATAAATAAAGGAAAATTGGGACAGATGAATAAAATGTTCAGTACAAAATTAAACAACTGCATTATAGTCAAGACAATTCATTACATAAGATTTACAGTCAAGATCCAGCTAAAATATATGTGCCATTTATCACATACCAAATGATTATGATTAAGAAATTGTTTAGCTCAAGGTATCCTGCTTTCAGATGCCCGTAAGGGCAACCTTCAACCATATGACTTACAGGAAATACATGAACTACAGAAGAAAAGCAATAAGGGAGTTATTGTTAAGTGCCGTCGAGTCGGTTCCGACCCATAGCGACCCTGTACAGGGTTTCCGAGGGTGTAAATCTTTACGGGAGTAGAAAGCCTCATCTTTCTCCCGCGGAGCTGCTGATAGTTTCAAACCGCTGACCTTAAGGTTGGCAGTCCGATTCGTAACCACTACGGTACCAGAGCTCCTTAATAAAATGTTGTTATGTGTTGTTAAATGCCATGGAGTCAGTTCTGACTCATAGTGACCGTGTATAGGGTTTTCGAGGTTTAAATCTTTGTTGTTGTTAAGTGCCGTCGTGTCAATTCCGACTCATAGTGACTCTGTATAGGTTTCTGAGGAGCGCTGGTGAGCTTGAACTGCCGATAAATCTTCTGTCATACTATAAACCACTTCCTTCAATGCTTATAGTATGACAGAAATACATGTACTAGACAAAGACTAGAGAGACACATTGCCAGTTTAGTAAAAATCAGAAGATACAACCTTGGTTGCTGAAAGTGAAGAAGACTTAAAATATTTACTGATGAAGATCAAAGAGCACAGCCTTCACTATGGATTGCATCTCAATGTAAAGAAAATGAAAATCCACACCACTGAACTAATAAACATTAGGCAAATCTGCTGCACAAGACCTTTTTAAAGTGTTGAAAAGCAAAGATGTCAGCTTGAAGACTAAGGCGCACCTGACCCAAGCCATGGTGTTTCCAACAACCTCATATGCATGCGAAAGCTGGACAGTGAATAAAGAAGACCGCAGAAGAAGTGATGCTTTTGAGTTATGGTATTGGAGGAGAATATTGAAAGTGCCATGGGCAGCCAGAAGAACCAACAGATCCATGTTGGAAGAAGTGCAGCCAGAGTGCTCCTTGGAGGCCAAGATGGCCAAACTTCATCTCTCATACTTTGGACATATTATCAGGAGGGACCAGTCACTGGAGAAGGATAACATGTTTGGTAGGATGGATGGTCAGAGAAAAAGAGGAAGACTCCTAGCGAGATGGATTGGCCAAGTGGCAGTATCAATGGGCTCAAGTGTGGCAACAATTGTGAGGTTGGCCCAGGATCTGGCAGTGTTTCATTCTGCTGTGCATAAGGTCACTGAGTTGGTACCGACTCAATGGCATCTAACAATAACAACAACAACAACAAAGGCGTCCTGTAGGTTAAGCACTAGAACACAATGTCTGTTTGAACTGAAAGGTCAGGGGTTCAAACTCACCAACCACTCCTTGGAAACTAGAGTTGGAACCAACTCAACAGCACTTAAAAACAACAACAACAAACTTTCTTAAAGGAGTCTTTCAGGAATGACCAGCTCAGACCAGTTCTTGGAATAAGCATAAGACCTCCACCCCTGATACTCATCTGACCTTCCAGTGGGAGCTGCCAAGTGCCTGCTGTCCAGCCTGGGATTCGAACTATGGTTGGGAGACAGAGCACATGTGTGCCACTCCATACTGTGCCCTGGCAAAGCTCCAGATGTTTTCATGACCAACTTCATCTGGATGAGACCAGCTAACTCCATTTTGGGATTTTCTTATGCATGTACCTCATTACCATAACTTCCCAGGGAAATCATAAATGAACATGAGAACCTTTGCCCGACTCAAGAATCTTTAAAGACTTCATCCAAGCAAAGACTGAGGGAGAAAGGGATTAGCATTGCCTAGAGTCCTCCTCGTCTCCTCTGGCCAGATTTTCCTCTCAGATCTTTTGCTCATGTGAAATTCGACTAGTCTAACTTGATCATTTTTGATCAAAAGAAGACAAGGACCCTCTGTTGCCGGTCAGCCTTCCCCTCTACCCCAATAACAACAGCTTTTCCTAAAGAAGTAAGCAAGATGAAGTTTCCCCATCCTCACTTCTGAGGAACATTCAGGTAGTATTTCTTTCTTTCTTTTTTTAAAGTTTTTTAAAAAAATGTGAATTGAGTGATAATTTTACATGGGAGAACATCAATTTTACATCATCGTTTCATTGCAATGATTACAATCTCCTCCGTTCATCATCATTCAACAGTATTTGTTTCTATTCCCTCTGTTGTTGTTGGGGTTTTTTTGGTGGTGGGGGAAGGATATGCACAAAACACTCGAATATATAATAATTTAAACTCAGGAATATATAATAATTTAAATAGCCAAAAGGCACATTCTGCAAGGCTGCCTCCCGGCAGCCAGCACTCAGTCTTTCTCTTTCCAAGAGTCCAGAGTCCTCAGCTGCTTCCTCTCTCCATGTCCTCATCTCTGCCTCCATCTTTGGTGTCACTGTTTCTCTGGATAGGATCCTGCATTCTGCTCATGCTCTTCTCCCTTGGTGGTCCTAGGTCCTCTGTTTCTGGACTGTAAGATTAACTACTCCCCAGTTTTTGTTACAAAACTTCTACCTTTACAGTTGTGACAGTCGCAATTAGTCATGATAACTCATTTACTCACTATTGAATCATAAGAATCTTATCCCCATCTCTTTTAACCAGACCTGTCTAGACAAGATGAAAACTATTCAGTGGGAACTCTACCTTCCCCCACACATTCTTAAGCTAAACTCCCTCTATGAAAACTTGTTAAGCCAGTCAATTTGTGCCTTTATCACCCCTTCATTTTAGGTAGTTGCCTGTCCTATCAATGTCTAAGTTGCCTGTCCCTATCAACCCTCTGTATAGAGGGGATAGGATTGATACTTGATGTGAAGATTCCTTCTTCTCTGTTGGTATTTTGAGCTACTACATCCATAAGTATAGGTCAATTTCATCAAATTGTAGCAATTTAAACTTGTTTCCTTTATTTAAAAAAAAATCTTTTTTTTTTTATCTTCTTCTAATTGTGTTCTGATTATCCAGCCATCAAGACTAGGTCAAATGGGTACTGTCTGCAAGTTTGGGCATTCTTGTGCATCTCCCCTCACTTTATATCAGATGGATGCTTCCTTCTCAGCTGTAGCCCTCCCTAGCTATGTCCTTGTCCATGGACTCAGAAGTCCCCAGATCTCACCACAATTTGGACCAACCGGTCCATCCTCTTTTCTCTCTCATCTCCAGGGCAACAGGAATCTATGGAATGTGGTTGAACTCAGCCCATTTCTTCATTGCTGCCTTTCCCCTGCTTCTTCTACTCACCAGTAGATCAATGTGGTCACCAGTAAGCTTACATGCCTGCTCATGTGTTCCCTTTGAGTTTCAGTCTTGGAGGGGTCTTTGTTCTGAAGGGACTTGATTGCTTGCCTTGATGGCTCCCCGGTGAACAATTTGCTTGTTCTTGTAGTAGCCAATCAGACTACCATTTTTGTTGTAGATTTTTCCTGCTGATCTTTCTTTCAAGAAGTATCTTCTGTTACTCTAGCTGTTCCAGACTGGTCTGCTGGTCCTTTCTAGTGGGACCGTCCCACCTCAGAAGGTTCTGGATGGGGCTCAGGATTCCACCTGAGGTCCTATACACTGCAAAGGCTCCACAGAAGTCTATTTCACTGGGCAAGTTCTAGGACCCATTTAAAATATTCCAATCAGTTATAGACTGAAGACAGGATTACAAGCTTTCTATTATCATATTTCCCGATATTCCTTTCTTTCTAACTCAAGTTATCTATTTTACAACAGTAGGCAAGGGAAACCAATATTCATAAGACAGTCAAGCATCTTAACACAATTTCCCCTCTTCAGACTATTCCTCGATCCCTATATCATGGAGCCCTGTTGTTCCAAGGTTGAGCATACATCACTATTTACCTCTGTCCCATTTAGCCCCTGCAAACCTGCCTCAGTGTTCCCTTATTTTCCATGTTCTTCCACCTCCCACTCCCTTCTTGTGTATTGCCCTCCCCAACACCTGAACTATGGTGTGTCTACCCCCCACCCTGTGCTCTACCATCCCCTTCAGATTGCTATTTCTTCTAAGACTGATTTGTTTGTTCTTCTGGTGGTCCATGGTACATTCAATGTTATTAACGTCACAATTTGAATGCATCACTTCTTTTTCTGTCTTCCTTTTTCATTATCCCATTTTGGCATGCGTTGTTGCCATCGAGTCAGGATCCGACTCATAGCGACCCTGTACAAGGTTCCTTGTACAGGGTTTCCAAGGAGCAGCTGGTGAGTTGGAACTCCCTGCCTTTACGGCCCAAATAGACTTTCGCATGCATATAAGGTGATTGAAAATACCGTGGTTTGGGTCAAGCACACCTTAGTCCTAAAGGTAACATATTGCTTTTTAATATTTTAAAGACATCTTTTGCTGCAGACTTATCCAATGCAATACTTTGTTTAATTTCATGACTCTGGCTTCCATAACATTCGACAGTGTGGATTGTAACACATTACAAATAACATTGTGAAGAATGGAAATTCCAGAGCACTTCATTGTGCTCCTGTGGAACCTGTTCATAGACCAAGAGGCAGTCCTTCAAACAGAACAAAGGGATACCCTGTGGTTTAAATTAGGAAAGCTGTGAGTTAGGGTAATATCCTTTCACCATACTTACTCAGTCTGTAGAATGAGCAAATAATCTGAGAAACTGGATTATATGAAGACAAATGTGCTATTAGGATTGGCAGAAGGCTCATTAACACCCTTATGGTATGCAGATAAAGCACCCTTGCTTGCTGAAAACAAAGAGGCTGGAAGCTCACTTACAGATGACAATCCAATACTACATCCTCCATTATGATTTACACCTTAACATAAAGCAAACAAAACTGCTCACAACTGGAACAGTAAAAAACATTGTGATAAATGGGGAAAAGACTGAAGT